ATCCCAGAAAAGAGTATCTGGGAAGAAAGAAACTTTATAAGGGATGTGCATTGCTTTATGATAAGAAAAAAATTATTCTCCTATTTCAGGTTGACATTCTACCTTTTCTTGGTTCACCTGACTTTCTACATAGCATAAAAAGGAACAATGTGGGAATTTCCCTGCATTCTGCCAGTCCCTAGTTCCAGGAAATGAACTAACTTTTATTATGTTGAAATCAATAGGAGCTAGAAACAAATGTTTTGTTAACAAGTGTGAATAGTAACACTTTCACTTCCTGCTCCTATAATTAATCAGATTGCAGAAACAGGTTATTTGCAACAAGACTTTCTATATAATCAGAATGACAGTTCCAAATTCTTGGGGGATTAGTAAATTGAGAGTCTGAAGTGCTGTATGAACATAAATATAATTCTTCATTTACACTTATAAGGGAGGAATGGAGATGTGAAGAGCCTGCTTCTCAGGCATGAAGTGTTGCCTCCAATACCCAGCACCACCAAAAAATGTATGTGTGTGTGTGCGTGTGTGTGCATATGTGCGTGTGCATGTGTGTGTAAGGAAATTTTCTAAAGGGGAGGAGAGTCTTTATAACAAAAGCTCTAATAGGATATTGGCCCCCGCCAAATCTTTATTTCTAACATCCATCGTGCTACCTCCTCTCCATTCCCATTATCAAGACCCTATCTCCATAAACAAGAATGACTTTTACAGGCTTCTCTGACCCCACTCCTTCTGCCTTACCCCTCACCAATACTGTAAACCATCTATGTTCCCTTCACCATTGCTTTCGTTAGTTAAGATGCTTCCCGTTTGGATGTCCAATAAAGACAGACAATCAGGGCCTTGTTTCATTTGGTGACATTTTATCTTCCCTGTCGTCGACTAAAACCGGTCTTCTTACTATACCTTAACATGATCTGTGCTATAGTATGGATCTTGGGTGTCCTTCAAAAGCCCATGTGTAAAGACTTGGTCCTCAGAGTAGCAGCCTTGGGAGGTGGTGGAACCTTGAAGCGATGGTGCGTGGTAGCCAGTCGTAGGTCACTGGGGCCATGCTTTTGAGAGGGGAGTATTGGGGTTCCAGCTCCTCCTGTTTGTCTCTTGCTTCCCAGCTTCCATGAGGTGAGAAGCTTGCAGCACAGTGTATTCCCACCATGATGTGCTGCCTCACTGCCGGCCCAAAAGCAAGGGGACCAACTATGGACTGAAACTACCAAAACTATGAATCCAAATGAACCTTTTCTCCCTTTAAGCTGATTGTCTCAGGTACTTTGTTAACAGAAAGCTAACAGAAACAGCGCTGCTCTGATGCTAGAATGATTCTTCACCAAATCCTGCCTTTCTAGCTCTCCAGTTCTTGCTGCCACTCCTTTCTCTCAACTCTTAAAGCACTACAGTCAGTAGTGACATTGTTGGTCATGCCTCTTAAGTCCTGTTCTTCTCACTCTTCCTCATTAGCAGGTCCAATTCCACTTCCTATCTTCAACTACCTTTTACTAACTAGTAACTACTGTCTCTATCTTTTGCTCAAGCTTCGATACTGAACTCCAGGCCTGTCCTTTGAACTGGAGAGAGACCTTCCAACAGTTCCCTCGAAGCTTCAATCCACCTGCCAGCCTCTCATTTTCATAGGATAAAAGGCTGCTCATGTACCTGTGGAGGTCTATCCCCATTCCTTCATACTGTACCCCAAGGACACTGTTCTCAAATTTCTCTCTTACTACTTACCTTTAAATTTTCTTCCTCTATTAGATGCAATAGAGAAAATACAAATATGCTGTTGTATCTCCTACAAGTATTCTGCTAATCCTCCTATCTTTAAAATAAAAACTGCTGGGTGTGGCGGCCCATGCCTGTAACCCCAGCACTCAGAAGGCTGAGGCAGGAGGATCGCTGCAAGTTCAAGGCCAGTCTGGATTACATAGTGAGTTCAAGGCCAGTCTGAACCACATGATGAGATCCTGTCTCAAAACAACAGCAACAGAAACACCCTCTATGGGTTCCTGTCCCATTTCTCAGTTCTTCTTTTTAACAAAAGTTCTTCACAGGGTAATATGTACTCCTTGTCTCAATTCCTTTCCTCCCAGCAGGGTTTTACCCCATGACTTCACTGCCTTGTCAAGGTCACCACTGATTTCCACATTGCTGAATTCAGTAATCAGTTCTCAGCCCCAGGTCACTTGATGTCTCGGCAGTGTTTGACACAGCTGCCACTATCCCGTTCTTGATGCCGTTTTCTCCCCCACAGTCTTCAAGTTTTCCTCTTTCTTGCTTTTTGCATTTTTGTATTTGTTTTATTTCCATAGGATCTTTTCTGTTTCTTATCATCTGTCCTGACCTCCTCATATTGGTGTGTCCTGGAGCTCAATTCTCGGAATCTGAATGAGTTTAAGGGAGGGACATTATAGCCGACATCCATCCAGACTTGGTAATAGCCTTCAGTTTTCTTTTCTGAGATGCTAGTAATGAGATTTTGGGGTGGGGAAGGCAATAGAACTCCCTTTTGCCATCCAGACTTAATGCAGATGAAGGTATTCCAGGAAGAGCCTCTTCCTGCACTTGGATGGGAGCAATTGATGCAGTCCTAGAAGGGCCATGATTCTGAACATGCTTTTAAGGCCTTTAATTTCCTTTAGATCAAATTTCTCAGTGTGCCACAAATTGCTATATTGGGAGGACGCTGTTCTCTGAGTCCCAACTATAAAGCTGTATTCATTGTATCAGGCAAGATGCAGCCAGGAAAACAGAATCCACACTAGTTATTTTAAGAAAATTTAATATATAAATTTGGCTAAATAAGAATTTGATGAGTGAAGGACAAATGAGGAACACTTAGTAATTTAGATATAGTAATTACAGGAAGCCACTTCCTTAAGTGAGCCAGGACAAAAGGGTGTCAGGAACCAGAACATTGCCAGGGGACCTGCCCTGTAAGGAGGGCCTCGGAGTTGGCCTTGAGGAGTCAGCTACCAGCTCGTTGAGGCTGGCAGAGGGGGCACTGGCCGGGGCTGGCAGCTTCGGAGAAGGGCGGTCCTGCTGGTTCTGAGAGTGTAGGGAAAAACCGGAAACGAAAAACTGCTACTGAAACAAGGAGCTGTCATTGCCAAGTGTAATTACAACTGCTGATGGGAAGACCTTGGCCAGTGAGCATGCAAGATCTAGTCCCCTTCTAACATTGGTCCTCCGCTAGCACCCCCTATTGGCAGAATTCAGGGATCCAGCCAGCAAGAGAAAAATACATTCACCTAGGTGGCACCAATGTACCACAAAGAATGCAGAAAGGTGGGTTTGGAGCTGAGAGACAGCAGCTTAATAATCAGCTTGTCTGCGTGATTGTACACTGCAGAACAGGGACAGTGGAGGAAATAACTTAATACTTAGTCACATGGCCTACGTTCACTATGTTGGGTGTAAAATGAAATATGCAAAATATGTATAATTTACAATATATATGAATGTCAAAAAAGATGCAATAATTGCACTAAAGAGGGATATGCTCATACAGAAGAAACTCCCGAGAAGTCGGAATGATCCATGAAAACCTTAAGACAGTGTTTTCCTCCAGAGAACGGGACAAGCAAAGGAGGAAGATGCTGTGAGGGAAGAACACACACGGCCTCTGCTCTGTTCCCAATTTGTTCTTGCCAAAAGCTGGCCAGGGCTTCATGGGGAGCTGTTATGCATTGTAGTTAATTATACATACGTTTCTGTGGCTCAGAAGCATTTTCATAAAAAGTTACAATAATTTGGCATCTTCTTTTGTTTTAAGAAGCACCTTTCCATAAGGAAGCCGAACAGGGCGTTGGTGTGTCTATGCCCCAGCAGCTTTCTTTAAGGGTGGCCCCGTCCTGTCTTCCTCCACATGACGAGGGCCATGCTCCATCCTTTATGGAGCTTCCGCTGGACTTTCTGTGTTTGTTTGTTTGTTTGTTTGTTTCTGAGGTTGTTATGCCCAAGACTGACCCAAGAGTGGTAACAGGGCTTATAAAAGCACAAAATGTCTTTGCATTTTAACATTTTGTACAATTCACTATGCAGAATTAGAAAGGGTAACAAAAATGAGGTAGGGTAAGTGATGGTCATCCAACTCCAAACAAGGTGAATAGAACCAAAAATGACGCTTCTTGGCTCACAGAACTGGAAGTCTAGTGAGATTCTGGTTTCACATAACTGGATCCAGGAAGCTAAACATTTTCAGAGCTCTCTCTCTCTTGGTTCCCCTTTGTTGTCATCCTGGACATAGGCTTTTCCCAATTTGCAGTGAAGATAGCTTCCGGGTCTCTAGATTCAATTGTTCCTTTTGTCTCTGATGACAGAAGACTCCTTTTCCAACTGTTAAATCAAAAATCCTAGGTAAGATCCTCACTGGCCTCGCTTCACATGTGTACTTAGCCTTTCATGAATCTCTGAGCCCAGTGGGTCTGGTCTGTGATTGGCTGGGCTTGACCAATATTCCAGACACCTTGGACCCAAGGACGATGATACAAACGCAAATACAGTGATCAGTTCCCTGTAAGAAAGAAGGGAGAAGGGCAGGGTGTGGTGGCGCACACTTGTTATCCCAGCACAAGGGAGGCTGAGGCAGAAAATTTAGGTCAAGGCCAGCCTGGAAAACCTAGCAAGACTTGAAACAGGACAAGAAAGAAGGGAAAAGGGAAGCCTGGCAGAGAGAATCATAGACATTCACTACATGAAGCTATAGAAGTTTTTAGGATAATCCTGGACTCCCTTGGTCATTCTGTTCTTCTCTTTCCAGACAAATTGACTCAGTGAAAGCAGAAAAACTTGTACTTCTGAAAATAATTTGAGCTCTTTGACACCTATTCCACCTGTACTTTTTCATTCCTTCTTAGTTTTTTTATTCTACGTAAATGCTGCTGCTCTCACTTTGTCATATCTCTTGACATAGATTTCTTTCAAATCAGTTACACCTTTATCCAATGAACCAGTTCCTAACCATGATCATGAACTAGGAGAGTGAGACATGCATCTGCTCTCCAACTACACACTTCCTGCATCCATTTACATATGGTCAGGAATATATTCATATCAGATGTCTCCCAGCAGGAGTGATTACAAGCAATTTCTTACATGTCATCTGCAAACAATGGTACTCTCACTAACTCACTGATAATGCCCTGTGCACCACTAAAACCCTTAAGTACGAATGCAATTCATATATGGTCATATTGGAAGTATGATCTTGGTGATGAACAGTTTTTATTTTGTCTTGTAGGAGCCTCAGCATTACTGTGTTCCAAATACAGAAGCATCGCTCATTCTGGGCACACCCCTCCCTATTTTTAGTAATTTTCTCAGTTCCTTCAGCACATTTGCTCCAGGAACGGGGCCATACATTAGAAGTATGTTAAGGAAGAGTAAACATGGTTTGCCTCCTCAGAAAGCTCAGGTAGTGGTAAATGTATCACATGTGACGATTTCTGTAGCAGTGAAGCGTAGAGTTTCCACGTGAGCACAAAGCAGCTGCATTTCAGGTGGTGGTGGTACTGTGTCTTCAGTAGTTGCCAGGACCTATTTTTTTGTTTTTCTATTCTTCCCCATCTCGCTAAGTGGCATCACCATCTACCCATACTGCCAGGCCAAAACCAAGGCAGCCTAGAATGCTCTCTCCTCTCTCCACAGCAGCAATTTCCCAGGCCCCACCTCTCTCTCTCTTTCTGGTCCAAACCATCGTCATCTCTCTCACATCTTCCAAAGTTCTCCATCACCATCCTGGCTTACAATATCCCCACTCACTGTCCACATGCAATGAACATTCACAGACGTGAAATAAACTCTGGCATCCCATTTAAAGGCTGGCTACTGGCTAGATGTGATGGTGCACACCTACAATTCCAGCATTCTGGGGGGCTCAGGCAGGAAAATCATAAGCTTGAGCCAAGCCTGGGCAATTTAATGACCTGTGAGAACCTGTCCCCAAATAAAAAACAAAATCAAAAGGGCTGGGGATGGGCTCAGTGTGAAGGTCCTGGGTTCTACCACACACACCAAAATGGGGGGCTGGCTAATTCCCACTTCCCCGCCTCCTGTTTCTCAGACTCCAGTCAGTGGGAGAGTTTCATCTTTGGCCTCATCAAGCCTACTGCACAAGCTGGGACTCTTCTCTCCTTAGAATGAAGGACTAGCGATCTCATTTTCATTCTGCAGATCTCAGACCAAGAGTCTCCCTGCCATGGAGAGACCTTGCCCACAGTAAAGCCCGAGACCTAATCAACATTAGCCAGCTGCTCTATCACACCGAGTTTTCTTCCCAGAGCCTTTTGGTGAGATAATTCAAGATTACAGATTTGTCTGTCCTTTCCACTGAGAGGGTAGAGATGATGCTTCTTGTGATCCCAGCCAAGTCCCAAGCACACAGCACAGTGTCAGTCCAGAAAACAATTCAAAGGCAGTTTTGAATGAATAGATTTAAACCTTTCATCCTTAAAAAATAAAAAAGTAAATAGGTCACTCCAGCATGAAAACTAGAAGATGTACGAGTTGACATTCTCTCACTTCAAAGACCAGCACGGACTTCATATGAAGTTGGAGGGAGCACTTCACTCATATGAAGCATACACTCATGGCAGGGGCAGGAGGGGGCTGGGACCTGCTCTAGGGACCGAACACACCGCCTGGAGTAGAAACAACACACACCCACAGCTGGCGGAACGAAACAGGAAGACACTGGAGGAAATGAATAATGTTGTACTAGGAATGTTTACAAATCCAGATCATAATTGAAAATATAGCACACAAATGGTAGTTGTATTTTATTCTTGTACTTTTCACACATAAAATTTTTTTAGAAAAACTGAAGGAATTTTGTCTTTGAACAAGGACAAAAATCTCAGGACACCAAAGAAAGCACATCTCTTAAAAGCAGATTTTAAGTCATTACTTATTGAGTATTAATTACACTCAATATTAAATATATTACTTATTAATATATTTTGAGTCATCTTTATGTAATTGGTATGTAACATACCAATTTATTTTTTCCTTCTTAATAAAAAGGTATATTTATATAATCAGTGAATTTAACAATAAAAAATAAACAGAGGTAACAAGAAGCCTAAAAAGAGTCAACAATATCTTCAAGAAAAGGTTTGCCATTTAAAAACACAAACTTTTCTGGGTGTGATGGCACTTGCGAGGTTGAGGCAGGAGGGTTGGCATGAGTTTGAGGCCAGCCTGGGCTCTATAGTGAGTTCAAGGCCAGCCTCAACTACATACTGAGACCCTGTCTCAAAAAACAGAAACAAAACAAAAAAAAGACACAAACTTTTATTGCTTTTCAACAATCTTTCTCATAATAAATGTTGTAAATATGATTGGCTCAGTAGGCCAGCTTTTCAGGACAACAGTAAGTGCAGTCTGAAAGAAATCATCCCAAATTTTGTTGACGCTTCCAGCATGTTAGTGTGGAGTCCATGGAGCTCTGTGATAAAACAGGAAATCTCCCAAAAGTGACTTCCGGCCACGCTTCCTGCCCCCAGCCCAGGTCACTCAGCTCATCCAGCTAAACTCTGAGGGGCAGGAGAGTAGCTTCCTCCTCCTCTGTGCCATCAAAGCTCTGGGGTTTAGATCTACAAGGAGGGGGAGAGAGGAGAATCTTAGTATCTCTAGTCTTTTTAGGTACACATTACGATCACATTCATCACTGGGAATTTGTACCTGTACATGGTATATCTTAGTACTTTTTCCCCATTCCCCTTCCCTCCCTTCCATCCCTCCACCCCTCCCTATTTACAAAAAACTTTGTTTCTGTTTTTTCCTTCTTTTCTCCTATTTTTCCCCTTCTTTCCTTCTAGTCTTTAAAAATCACCCAGTGCCTCCATCTCTAACAAGTTAGCATCTTAAAAAGTGTCTACAAGTAACGAGCCTCCAGGTGCCCAGAACTCTGCTAAGTGGGAGAATGGATGCGGAACAGTATTTCATTTCAGTTTCCACAAGATAACCTGGAAAGACAGAAAACAGTCCAAATGCTGGGCGTACCTTCTTCTAGAGTCTTCCAGGAAGTAAAACAAGCCCATCGCTAATCCCTTTGATGCAATGAAAGACACTGGTTAGTGTAAATCCTCAAGTTCAGTTTCTCCAAAATGTAACAAAAGTGGAAAAAAAATCGATACGTTACTCACACTAGTCAGAGGCCACAAGCCTCCACAAGCTGCTGCCCACTCAAATCCAATTTTCTCATACAGAAATCCACCCAGCATTGGTCCTATGAAGGTACTAGCAGTGGAAAGAAAGCTAAATGAGTATTAAACAGCAGAAAAAATAATTACTGAATTGAAGTTGCATGATCCCACAGTCACAGGTCTTCTTTAATTGTTACTTTAAGTACTGAATTTAAAAGTCAACTTTGGGGCCAGGGATTTAGCTCAGGGGTGCTGCACCTGCCTCACAAGCACAAGGTCCTGAGTTTGATCCCCAGTATGGAAAACAAAACAAAACAAAAACAAAAAAGTCAATTCTGAATGTGAGAAACTAAAAGTGTAAATGAGGACCACAATGTATAATAGCTATTGTGAAATAAGAAGAAAATGTTCAAAGGGGAACGGGAACTAGGGAGGGGCAGCTAGGGAAAGGAAGGAAGGGAAAGAAAAAAATGAAAAAATGGAAACAAATCTTACGCAAATAGAGACAGGTGGAGGAGTGGAATGGAGGGAAGGGGAATGGGAAAAATAAGAACCAAGATGTGTCATGTACAGGTACAAATTCCCAATGATGAATGTGATCACAATGTATACCTAAAATGTACCAATAAACTTAATGAATAAAAAAATATTTTAAAGGTCAATTCTGGCTTAGCAATACTTATAAGACAATAATTCTAGGACTGAGGCTGTAACTCAGTGGTACAGTGCTTGTCTACCATGCATGACGCCCTAGGTTCAATCCCTAACACTACAAAAATAAATAAATAAAAATAAGAAAGCAAAGAATAGAAAGAAAAAAAGTCTACTCAATAATGACGATGTTTTAAAATTTTAAACAGTTCTCAACAAGAACTTCATTGGAAAAGTTGGTGGCTTACAGAGAAATAAAAGGATGACAAATGTTCAAAACTATGTATCTTTTTTCTCAGTATTTGCATATAATATAACTCAATTGAATATATATTAATTCCCTATACACAGCATTGCATTGCTCAAACATATTTACCCTTCTGGTATAATGAAAGGTAAAAACTAATAAATACATGAATAAATTTTAAATCTAAGACATACTTTTTAAAGGATCTTACAAGTAACATAAATAAGACAGTGTATATGAAACCATTTTGCTTAAGTTTTTGTTTTTGTTTTGTTTTTTGTACCGGGGATTGAACTCAGGACCTTGCGCTTTCGAGGCAGGCCGTGGCACCAGTGAGCTAAATCCACGACTATGTTTTGTTTTGTTTTGTTTTTGAGACAAGTTCCCGCTATGTAGCTCAGGCTGGCCTTAAATTTACTATGTAGCCTAAGCTAAACCTGGAACTTGCAGCAATTCTCCTGCCTCAGCCTCCCAAGTGCTGGGATCACAGGTGTGCACCACCATGCCCAGCTTGCTTAGGTATTAAATTGGCTGTTAAAGCTACATTTTGGAGTCAGAAGGTGTGGATTAGAATTCTTGATCTGCCCTGTTTTTAAGAATCTCATGTAACTTTTTTCTTTTGCTTTTCTTTTTTCTCTAGTTTTTATTTTTTATTAGTCCATGTTCCAGTACATAAAGACTATGTTCCTTGTGGGGTGTTGGTGGTGTATATGAAACATCTTATTTCTGTTTTTCAACCCCTTACCCTCTCTCTCCCCCTCCCTTCATCTATTAATCCTCTTCCCCATGAGAAGGATCTTCCTACTTCTTATTATCAATCCTTATTTTGCTCTGTATTTATATTTTGTGTTCCTCATATAAGAGAAACTATGTGATATTTAAGTTTATGTGTCTGATTTAGTCCACTTAACATTGTGGTCTCCAGGTGCATTCATTCTCCTACAAATGACTCAAATCTATCCTTCTTTCTGGCAGAACAGTACTCTATCATATACAAGTAGCACATTTTCTTTATCCATTCATCTACTGATGAACATAGAGGCTGCTTCCAAGATTTAGCCATCATGAATTGTGCTGCTATAAACATGGGTATGCATGTAATATGATGACTCAAAAGTGGGGCTTTCCGGAAGTGATTGGATCATGGGGGCGTGATAGTCAGCAGTGGATTCGTCCTTGATGAGTTTATAGCTAAAGGCAATGTTGGAAGGTGAGGGCTGATTGGAGGAGGGGGTCGCTGGGGGCGTGGCTTGGAAGGGTCTATTCCCCTCCCACTTTGATCTCTGCTTCCTGCTGCCCCGCCATAAGCAACCTCCTCTGCCACGCCCCTACCACACCCTCTGCCACGCCCTCCACTAGGCACCTGCCCTGGAGCCAGCCCACTATATACTGGAACCAGGACAGACTGCCAGCAAAAATAAACCTTTCCTTCTCTGAATGACGGGTATCGGGTATTGGGTCTCAGCGACAAGACAGTACCTAAGACGCCAGCATGTGCTATTATTTGATTTGATCATGGCCATTCTCTCCGGAGTAAGATGACATCTTAGAGTGGTTTTAACTTGCATTTTTTAATGGCCAGAGCTGGTGAACATTTTTCATGTATTTATTGGCCATCTGTGGCATTCTAACATCCCCATTCTGGGTGTAAAATGGAAACAGTGTTTTCCGTCTTGCAGGTGGGGACGACACTCAGTGAGTACTCACCCTGCAGACCACATTGCACTAGTGAGGCCTGATACAAGTCCCAGTGTACTTAATCCCTCTTCAAACCCATTTTCACTGTAAAGAGAGACATGAGAGTATCCATTATGAAAAGGAAAGATTTTATGACAGAGATTTTAAGATAAACCAAAGAAAATCACTCTACACAGCGTAGCACACTAGGGCTGGGGATGTAGCTCAGTGGCAGAGCGTGTGCTTAGCATGCAGAAGGTCCGGGCTTGGATCCCTGCACTTAAAAACAAACCACCCCCAAAACAAAGAAACAAATCGAAGTCAAAGAGATGTTTCATGACTTGTAAAATAATTTTTCTAAAATACGCTTCTATTAAATCAATTAGATATAGTAACACCATAATCATTTGTATTAAATGCTTATAAAACATATAATTATCTGCTCCTTACGTTGAGATGAAGATGTCAAAGGACAATGGGGGCTTGCATCACCTGCCACTTAACAGAGGGACCCTGGGCAGGCGACAGAAGCCCAGCCACCCTGCGCTGTCAGTGCATCTGCTCCACACAAGAAGGAAAATTCAAAGGTTCTCCACTCCACTTCAGCTTTTACAAACTGCTTCTACACCAAGGTACAAACCAAGCAAAGTATCCATCTTCAACTTATTTTGACCATTAGTGGAATAATATTCCTGTATATTAACATTTGTATGATCATATTATTATTTATAGGATTTCTGTTGCAATATTTATATTCTTTAAACACACGATGGTTTGGGGGAAAGTCTCTACATCCTAAGAAACTGAAAGATTCAAACAGCCCGTGACACTCACTGCTCTTCACAGCGAAGCTCTTCAGGGAGCAGGCATCACTTACTATGCACAGCTGAGGACCTCCAGGAAGGTCGGAATTGTGCTCATCCCAGCAATGACGCCATTGAATACCAATATCAGCACCAGCAGCCACATCTGACTGTGAAACAATTTTGGAAAAGAAAAAAACCTTTAGCCTTTAAGAGGCACAAAACTTCACACTGGGGAAGCCAGGGTCCGAGCGAAGCTGGTTTCACAGATTAGGTGACCAGCCTCAGTCTCATTCTTGTCTAGCCTATTCCACCGGGCAAGATCATCTTCAGCTCCTTCTATCTGTGGGGAGCGGGGAGAACCCAGCTCATCCCTGAGATACCATCACCCATCACACCTATCCCACCAGTCACATGCTAGCAGTCAATCTGTCTTCTCACCATACAGAAGCCTCTCAAGATGGGTTGAAAGATCAATACTAACACTGTTCATTCAGTTACTGGGCTCTGAAATTCAATTAACTGAATAAGCCAAAGAAGGGAAGGGAGAAAGGCAGGGACAAAGCTAACATGTGTACCAGGGTGAGCATGATGCCAGTTACTCATATATCTGATCTCATTTAGTCCTTGTGCTCTATCAGTGCTATGGATAAGAAAATTGAGGCTCTTGGAAGTTAAGGGATTTGCTCAAGTTCGCAATAATAGTAGTGGCAAAGCCAAAGTTCAAACCCAAGACTGAAAGGCTCTGAAATCCCTCTTTTTCCATATCATGTTTCATCCTAGAATTTTGTGAAAAGGCCCCGGAAACTCATTTTAACAAATAAAGTATGTCAAGCAAGCTTTCATAAGCAGCTACTACATGCTAAAGATGACAAAAAACAAACATGATTTGGTTCCTGTCTCAAAAGAACAGTAGAAAAAACAAAAATTTATTCTAAGAACTATCAATCAAAGATGGGTAGCAACAAATGCTGTTTTAAGAATAAGTACAAATAAGTATGTGATGGAAATACAAAGAGACAACAAGCATTTTCCTTGTGCAGTGAAGATTTTATGCATTCTTATTTGTTTCAGCCAATGATAGTCTAACCATTCAAAATAGGCCTAAATCAAAGTAATTATTCAATTACTTATTATGGTTAAAACACTAAGCTATGCCGGCATTATAGCAAAACATTTAAAATTAATTCCTCCTGCTATTTAACCAAAAGCATAAAAGGGAAACGATTACCTTTTAATGTGCACGATTGGGGTAGGTCCTAAGAGCATGAAGCACACTGCTGTGATTAAGTTGCCAAAAACCAGAAGCCACTTCCTCAGGTACTAGAGAAGAGAAAACACCTGAGACACTCTCAGAGGTAAGAAGCCTCCTTGTTCCAACAGTATGAAAAACCATTAAAGCATAGAAGTCATGATATCCAAAAATCAAAACACGTTCAAGAAAACGACATTCTACATTTAAGAGGAAATAAGTGGATAATGAACTCAAAAGCAAGGACAATCCACCACAGGCTGGGAGTGAGCAAGGAACAGGATTCCTTAGAAAGGAAACACACTGCAGATTATTGTACATGATGAACTATTTCGAATGGCTAACAACTTACAAAGCAGATACAATACCTAGAAAAATCATACTCTGAAAAAGTACTGAATGCCTACGCCTCCTCGCCATGGATGTGTTAAACCCTAACACCCGGTGTGACGGTACTGGGTGTGGGGCTGTGGAATGCAATTGGGTCATGAAGGTGGGGCCCTCACCAATGGGGGCCCCAGGGAGCCTCCTTGCCCCTTCTTCCATGAGTTACAGGGAAAGGGCCACCTCCTATAAATCAGGAAATCAGCCGGGCATGGTGGCACACACCTCTAATCCCAGCACTCAGGAGGCTGAGGCAGGTGGATAGCAGCAAGTTCGAGGCCAGTCTGGGCTACATAGTGAGACACTGTCTCAAAAAACCCAAAATAATTAATAATAATAATAATAAAAAAATCAATCAAGAAATGAGCCTTTACCAGAAAACAAATCACTAGTGTCTGATCTTGGACCTCCAATGCTTTAGAGTTGTAACAAATAACTTTCTATTCTTATTTATGATGTTTTGTTATGGAAGTTTGAGCAGCCTGAGATAGTATTCGATAAAATTATACCTTATAAACTATTTCAGGTGAAAAGTTACAGCGTTACAGTATCTGTTCAGTTATTTAAGACTATGTCTTAAAAACCCAGCTCAAAAGTTGTTCAAGCCAATACCATTTTGGCACTCGAGGTAGTAAGTAATCCCACATACACAGCAGCATCTTGATACATATGGGAGTCTGTCTAAAGAAAAGGGAAAAATGCAAAAATAACCACAAAAGCTACAAAAGAAGCCACAGAAATTTGAGATTTCATAACATCGCTAGTTCTGTATATCAGTTAGCTACACTGAATGGATTTTATCTCACTGAAAGAGAAGAGAAGGGATTTTCTGATAAGATGGGGATGGAGTATTCCACACACATCTACCTCACCAGTCTTCCCTCTCTCCCAGGACAAGCTGTCTCCTCCTAAAGCAAATCTCTCACTTGACACAGTCCCATAATAACCTCTACAACTGCACCCAGTTGTTAAGCTCAATCCATTTTATTTTTCATCAGGAAGCCTTTCCCTTTAGAAACTCTAAACCAATCATTTTCAACAGTTGTAGCAAAGCACTCTTCTCATCCCCCAAGAAGCAGTTAAAGGTGAGCTTGCTCAGGGTGATGGCTGAGTTTGGAAAACTCTGGAATCTCTCCTTCAATCAAATTGTCTTTGTCAGTGAAAACCAATGGACCTTAAGTGTTTTAGAGAAATAGTTGGAAAATCACTGATCTAAATGCGTAAAAGGAAAAATGAGGTGCACTTACTGGCATTTTGTCACTTAGCAGGCCAAACAGCGGTGAAGAAATGGTATAGGACAGTGCCAGTCCCAGGAAGACCAACCCCAGGTATCCAGCGGGTAAATTAAACTGGAAAAGAATTTCTATATTAAACTGACACGGTTAAGTGGTTAAGTCATTTTTTGAAAATGACTTCAGCTTTCTTTAGCTTTTATTATGATGGTGAATCTACTAATAACACTCAGCATATCACATCTTAGTCCTTTGTACTTCCCTTTTTCCCCTTCTCCTTCCCCTCTCCCTCCCTGGATTACCTTCCCATCTGCAAAAGGTTACTTCCTGTTTCCTCTCTTCTTGTATTTTGTTCTTTATATTATTTACACTTTGGGTTTCTCACATTAGAGAAAACATTACATTGTTCTGTTTTCAAAAATATCTATGAGCAAAAGTCTATGATATCAAACTTTTGGAATTCAATATTTCTTTTTCAGCACTAGAAGAGAGTCTTGGTTTCTTTCTCCCATCCCAGATTAACATAGTCCATAGTCATCTGTTTGGATCAAACAGCCTAAAAGAGTACAATGGACCCAGAGGGGAATCTATGAGACAAGGTGGGCACCTCACACTAACTAAGCTCATGAGAAGCCCTAATTCCTGGCCAGAAGTCCAACAAATGGAGGGAACCTGTCCTTGTTAGACGGCATGAATGATGCCCAAGTCTGACCTACAATGACACGAGCAGGGTCTTGGAAAGAAGGACGCCAATGTGTTGGCCACTAGTGAAAGGATTCTTTCTTCCTTACTGAAGCAGATCCTGAATCCACTGAATCTTGTCTGTGGCGGTTAGGGAGGAGTTTCAACCTGCTTGGCTTTGGGATCCATCTAGGCAACTAGTGGAGTGCACTTCTAGGTGTGTCTGCTGGGTCTTGGAGGTGTGGGTTTGGGCTCTGTGTCTGCTCCGTCATCCCTTTCTCTCTGGCACTGCGTCCCAGCCGCCATGATCTAGCATCTCTGTTCCACCACACTCTTCCACCGTGTCTCTGCCTTGGACCCAGTAGACCATGGACCAAAACCGTGAGCAAAATTAAACCTCTCCTCTTTTAAGGTGTAGGGTTTGGGTATTTTGTCTCAGGTACAAAAAATTAGTAACAAAATGTCCCTAGCTCCTAAGGACATCAGAGAGGGCAGGCACAGGCACACTGGGGTGCAGTTCCCAGTCCACTTCCCGCTCTCAGCCACTCAAAGGACTTTCTCTAAGGAAAGGCCTAAAAGCAAGCAATTGTGCCCATCTGCTCCAAAGCAGAGCTTCAGGAATCAGGCCACTTACCTTGCTCAGGACAAAGAGAGACAGAATAGGGTCAAGGAAGCCAAAGCACAAGCTCATAGAGATGAGGGTGAAGGATATAAGGCTGACCTTGGGTAACATGACAAGTTTCCAGAATGAGTGTTCACCTGGATCAGACTCTTTGGGAATCAACATGAAAAAAAAAGAGAGAGAGGGAGAGAGAGAGAGAAGGAAATGATAGCAACTAACATCTTTTCACTTTATCTTTTAACTTATTTTGTAAATTAAAACTGCTAGTAACAAAATTTAACTTCACCTCTGAAATTGCCTCAAATTGTATAGGATTTACATTTGCATGTGAGTTATTTGAATCTAGACACCATATTCAATTTCATTTTAAAAAATTCACCAATCCAATGTGAGTGGGAGATGAGACCCAGGATATGCAAGGTTTGATTTGGCCCAGGGAAATGCATCGCCAGTGCTGTACCAAGGAACAATCTGTGGGCACGTGCTCAAGGAGGAACTTACCTTCACTGTTTTAAAAAGAAATAATTCTCTGTCTGTTGGCAAAGCAAACTCTGGATTGAAAGGGGTGCTGTGGATCCTATGGAAATTACTTTTAGCATTCACATCAGGTGAGTTCCAAACTCACGTCCTATCACTCTCCCAACAGTGACCCAATTTCTTCACTGTTCCAACCATCAGATTTCACCACGTCCAGGCCTCCAGCTACACTGCAGGCCCCCTTCTTGTTTCCCTGCTAACTCTTCAAATTCTACTCAATCTACAAGGTCTGGCTCCGGCCCTAATTCTTCCACAAATTGTACCTTTTTCTTCTTTCCTACTGTACTTCTAAGCTATGCTTCATAATAATTAAACACTAAAATAACATTTCCCTTTGTATT